GTGCACGTTCCTGAGGTTGTGTGTGTGTGACGTGCACGTTCCTGGGGTTGTGTGTGTGACGTGCACGTTCCTGAGGTTGTGTGTGTGACGTGCACGTTCCTGAGAGTGTGTGTGTGTGTGACGTGCACGTTCCTGAGGTTGTGTGTGTGACGTGCACGTTCCTGAGGTTGTGTGTGTGTGACGTGCACGTTCCTGAGGTTGTGTGTGTGACGTGCACGTTCCCGAGGTTGTGTGTGTGACGTGCACGTTCCTGAGCGTGCACAGACAGAGCAGCTGCAGCTTTTGTTCACTTCCTGTAGTCCTGCAGTTTTCAAGCTGAAATGAAAAAGCATCATGAAGATGAACTTTACAGTCTCTAGTTACCTGTTCATAGAAACACATGGAGGGGTCTCACCTTGTGACTCACAATAAAATATGTAACTTTATGAACTCTAATGAACTTATAATGATGCTCCTACTCTCTGAAGGTGAACCCATGGTACCACACCATCTCTCAGTCGGACAGTCTGACCAGTTTGATCAAAATCCTCCAGTTTAAAATCCTCACTGCTCAGATGAATCCTCCTCAAAGATACTTCCTCCTCTTCCTCACATCTTGTTCTTTGGGAAACCTTCAAAATGAAAACAGGACATTTGTGTCTACACAAAAACATACTTAACTAACATACATATGTAGTGAACTAAGCCTCAGGTCAAATCTGGCCCTGAGGGCCTTCCTGGGACAAGAACTGTTATTTCATTGATTTGAATCCAGAGATACAGTTTGGCCCATCCAGAGACTTTCTAAGTGTGTCCTGCACGGATCAATTGAAAGAACACTCTCTTTTTCTATTATCATTACTATTTTACAAATGTCTTGATAATCAAAAGTGTGTTTAATTCAAATCATTTTTAAATGTTGAATTGAACTACTTATTTTAAATCAACTGTGAAACAGTATTAATGATTTTTAATCCTCATTCAAAGTAGAAATCTTGTTAATGTATGTTACAGAGTAATTATTCATTTTCTTGATCTTCTGTCTGAAATGAGCAGGTTGTAAGTCGGTCAAAAGTCGGAGACAAACGCCAACAAGTTTGTTGGAACGAACTGTCATGTTTTTAAATCCTCTCAGACGTAAATAGAGAAGCTGGCACCCGTTTCCTCCCAACTCGCCTAAACATTTCTCTTGTCTGTTTCAAAAAAAATTTTCTGTCTGTTCCAAAACATTTTTCTGTTTTTCTGACTTCTAGTGACCTCTTACGTCACTAAAACCACACCCCTGATTGGCTCTTTCAGCCAATCAGGACTTCCCAAATGAACCGGAAACAGAACTCTTTAAATGTCGACACTTCCTAGTTCCGACCAGCGCGGTGGGAGAGCAGTTCAGTTCGGAGGGCAGAACCGAACAGAAAAGTTGCTGGAGAGAACAGGAAGTTCCAGACATGATCCGAAGTTCTTTTGAGTCTCGTGGGGATTATGGAATCTTCCACATCTGAGTGGAACCTCTGACGGACTCACAGCTCATGCGAGCCCACCCGGGAGGTGAGCGTGTGTTGAACGAAGTACCGTCACTACTCCGGACGGTTCTCTGCTATCCTACGGAGACGCTGGAAAGGTAGCGTTAAATGGAACGCCGTACCAGTGGAGACATCTTCTACAAGGTAACGAGTCCCTCACTACCTAAGTGTACCGAGGTGGACCTGGGTTCGGATGGAGGGTGCCGTTCGTTATCAACCCACTTTTCCCTCACCCATCTCTCTCCATTTAAACTCCTTCATTTCCCATCTTTAAAACTCTTCTATCTTGCCAGTAAATCATCCAGATATTTTCATAAATGTCTGTTGTAATTAGTTGCAAGTGAGATACCATGGCCGTATGGTTTCTCATTGTAAAGCTCATTAATTAAGCTGTGTTATTGCTTCAATCAGAATAATCAAGTGTACAATGTTGATGTTAAACTTTGATTCTGTTAATAAATGACCGCATTCATTTTGATGGGTCAAAGAAACTTAACGTCTCACGTCACTGATTAGACCATCTCCCACACAGTATCTCTGTCACATATCTGTCAAGTAGCTCGAAAAAGTGAGAATCCGTTTAAATTAAGTATAATATCAGGTACTTGAACTAGTCCAGATATTATAACGTGCAGTGGAGCTCCGAAGCTAATCGAAGCTAACCGATCTATCTCACTACACATACAAAAACAACTTAAACAAAACTCCAGTTCTGATACATATCTGTTGATAATGAACCAAAGCTGCTGAAATAGTGAGTATGCTTGTTAGCAAAATATTCCTGTCATCAGATCTCAGTCAGCTTCATTGCAGCTGAACACCGTGTTACACTGAACATCACATCAGCTGGTGGACATAAATACAGTACAGTAATATTATATTCACAAAATACTAACAATAATATGTTCATCTTACTGTGAAAAGTTATCCCCCGAGACCTGACGTCAACAGTCGATTAGAACAGAAAGAAGCTGCGAAGTGCTGAGACATCTTCTGCTTTAATCAAATAAGGATGACCGTTTCAAGATGGCGGCCGAAAATCCTGCGCCGCAGCAGCCAATGAGGGATCTAGTGTTTATATCTATGCAGCAGTGCCTCTGGTTCGTCTTGAAAATTAAATGTCTCGTGTGTAACAGGGTTGTGTCGAAAGGGCGGATGATCTTGCCAAGGCAGCATTGAAGAGAGAAATAGCAGCTAATATTTATCCTGATGCATGCTCAATAATCCAGGTAGAAAAATCTAAAAAAGTTAAATCTGGTCCTCTGGACATTCAAAAAAAACAAAACAAAACAAAGCAAATCAACAAAAAAAATATAGAAACGTTTTTGAGCATGTGATCAGCTGGTTTTGGTTGTCAGCAGCAAACTGGTTGATCCACTCTGAGAAGGTGCTATTTAAGAGACTGAGCTGAAAACAGCACCTCAGACTGAGGAAGTCTCTCGGATGAGAGACGAAACGTTTCTACATTTTTTTTGTTGATTTGCTTTGTTTTGTTTTTTTGAATGTCCAGAGGACCAGAATTAACTTTTTTAGAACAGCTAATATTCCATTAGGGAAAAAAGAGGGTAAATCAATTATTAAAAGACAAGAACTAAATAAATGGCAAAAGAGATGGAATGAGGATAAGAAAGGAAGAAAATTATTCAGGATCCAAAAATCAGTTAAAATAACAACGTTTAGAGAAAGAAGTAGAAGAGAGGAGGTGATACTTATGAGACTGAGGGTGGGACACACATTCCTTAATGACACAATGTTCATGATGGGGAAAAGGAATAACAACAGATGCGAGGAATGTGGGGAAACAGAAAGTGTGGAACATGTTCTGATGGAATGCATTAAATATACGGAAGAAAGGGAGAGACTGAAAAGAAAAGTCAAAGAGAAAGGGAGAGCTTGGAGTTTAGGAGGAATCTTAGGAAATGAAGGGGAGAAGGATAAGATAAAAGATGTCAGAAAAGCGTTGGTTACATACTTGAAAAACATTAACATAAAAAGCAGAATTTAGGGACAGAGGTCATGAGTTGCACACTCTAGCTCAGTAGGTGGCGGTATGCACCTGAAAGTTGTTTACAATCCGCCAATAACTTAGAAGAAGAAGAAGTGACAGGGTTGTCCACTGGGTGGCAGCACACCGCAGCACTGCCTCTGGTTCGTCTTGAATGAAGAAGAAGAAGAAGTCCGATATCTCGCTGCTGTCTCTCAACAAACAGAGCAGCGGTCCAACAACGAGTCACTACAAAACAAACCTTTCTTCTTTTTTGTAAGTAACGTGGAGTTATATTTTCTTGTCTGTTAACATTCATTTGGACAATTCTCCCAAAACCGACCGAGGAAGCCGAGAAGAAAAGAGGACGAGTGGGAGCCTGCGGTTGTGTCCCAACAGTCGGTGCCTCGTCTCTTCTTCATTTCTCTCCAGAAGGTTTTCTTCTGCGCCCCGAGGAAACATGAGCTTTCTTTTGTGAGTCATAAATATTTTATGGTGGCCTGTCTTGTACACCGATGTTGATTTACATCAGTATAATTAAAGTGGTAGCTGTAGTGCTAGCTAGCGATTGAAAGCTATAGGCTTGGACTACTTCCTGGATTCACACCCGAATCATTCCAGTTGTCGGTGGTTCTTGAGCACATTGTTTTACATGGATCTGGAACATGTCTTGTTTTTAACTGAAAACTCAGAGGAACAAATACGGTCTATACGTAGACTCCTTCCTACTAGGTGAGTCTTGAATGGTTCTCATGTGAACGGAGGTGTAGTCCTGGATATTTGCTGGTGTGAGCTCGGCTAGCAGCTGAAGCAGCAGCAGCTGAAACAGCTGAAGCAGCTGAAACAGCTGAAGCAGCAGCTGAAGCAGCTGAAACAGCTGAAGCAGCAGCTGAAGCAGCTGAAACAGCTGAAGCAGCAGCTGAAACAGCTGAAGCAGCAGCTGAAACAGCTGAAGCAGCAGCTGAAGCAGCAGCTGAAGCAGCAGAACGTATGCAGAAGTGTTTGTAGTGCAAAGAACGTGGAGAACAAGCAGTTTAGGACGGGGCTCAGTGAGCTGGATGTCCACATCGTGTCACCAACGATGGACGGGGCTCAGTGAGTCCTCCAGAGATTTCCTCGTCAGTTGAACTGGTAGTTTACAGAAACACACGAGCGGCACTGTGAGCTTTGATGCACATCAATACCTTTTATTGGCTCTGAATCAGTATCAGAAACTTACAGTGGTTTCCTGATGCATGCTCAATAATCCAGGTAGAAAAATCTAAAAAAGTTAAATCTGGTCCTCTGGACCAGCCATCAGTGTGCTAATGATCCATTGTTAGGCTGATGGTCCTTCTTGAGCATGTGATCAGCTGGTTCTGGTTGTCAGCAGCAAAACTGGTTGATCCACTCTGAGAAGGTGCTATTTAAGAGACTGAGCTGAATACAGCACCTCAGACTGAGGAAGTCTCTCGGATGAGAGACGAAACGTTTCTACATTTTTTTTGTTGATTTACTTTGTTTTTTTTGAATGTCCAGAGGACCAGATTTAACTTTTTTAGATTACAGTGGTCTCGTTTTCACTTTTTACATATTTAGTTATTTTATTTAAAAAACTTCTAATTTTTGAGCATTCCCAGTTATTAAAATTGTAATTTTGATTAAAAAAAAGAGTCTATTTTTTGTCTTCTGTTATAAATGTTATGAACAGGATATCAAATATTTATGAACTAAACCCAAAAGTAGGACTAATTTCAAGCAAGAACATGACTGACAAATCTAACAATACAGTGCATAGAACTATTGAAGTAAAACAACAAGTAAAAGCTCAATTTGGCTTTTATTTTCTTCTTTTTAAACCAAGAGCCCTTTAGAACAAGTTCCTGTGTCATGCAGAAAGACCAGTTGTGCTCGAGTCACATGGGAACAAACACTCATCCCGTGCTGGACTGTACTGGTTCACCTTGTCTCAGTAATGTGCTACTTGGTGATCGTTTTAGCTGCTTGTATAAACGCACAGTGTAGCAGAGTTCTCTAATCACTGCCAGGGAACGTTTAGTACAAGGTGGCACAGAGTTTTGTTAGCTGAACTAATGAGATGACGGCGTGTTTCAGTGCCTGAGCCTTGCTGTCACCGAACAAGATGCTGGTTTCATGGAGCGCAGACAATGGCTGCATTCTGTTCCTCTTCGAATGACCTCGTTACAAACCCAGAGCCCGACTGTTCTCATCTTTGGACTTTATTTGGCTCAGAATCTTTAATCTTTACAATCATGACTAACTGGGTTTTTCATGACGTCATGGTGGCTCCTCATGTCTGTCTCATTTGTCTTCCTCTTTGAAATGTGACTCACAGTGGAAACCGTTCATCCAAAACCTTCAAGCCCAAGAAGAATATCCCCGAGGGTTCCCACCAGTACGAGCTGTTGAAACATGCCGAGGCTACGCTGGGAAGTGGAAACCTGCGCATGGCTGTCATGTTGCCTGAGGGCGAAGACTTGAATGAGTGGGTCGCTGTCAACAGTAAGCCCACATATTTACCTTTCTGCCCGCTTCCTGTCTCATCCTTTTTAAATTCAACATCGTGTTTTTAATCTGGTTTTATATTTTCATTCTTTACATTAAACTGGTTCTTGCAAAGTTGACATCATAGCTCATGTGATGAAGTATCGGAGTGTAAAGTCTTGGCAGAGCCTGTAAAGAGTGTGTTCATGCTGGACAAACCCCTGTGAATGTTAAACAGACTTTATTGACTGTTCTGTGGGGTCCGTGTTTACTCTCCTCTAAATTGTGACAAATGGCTCCGTCTAAACTGGGAACCAGCATTCTTCTCACATCAGTGCTTTCAGGGTCTAAACTTTCCAGTTGGTCCTCATGTTAGCAAAAAATCCTTGTGCAACATTTCACAGCCTGTTCCCTCCACTGTAGCTTTGTAGGCAGAGGTGGTTTGTGTTGCACAAGGCACATTTCACAGTATAGGAAGTGAGGGTACACGTTGTGTCAGCGTAACTTGAGCCAGTAACCCGTGATCGGTGCTCACAAGCACCACTGACATTTGTTTTGTCTGTCGTCAAGTCCTGTCATTCTGTGAAGGATGCACATCGTCCAGCCTGGAGTTTCACTCACGGCGTCTTATGTTGACAAATAAGAAACCGTGGAGTTAGAACCATGTGGCCAAACCATGAGAATAATGTGCACAGCCTCACGTGCGCTGTCTTAACTCTCGGACTGTGTGTTGAGGATGACTCTTGGCTTCTTCCACAACAAAGTTAGCTCAATATCTGTAAAACTGTCTGAGGATCTTTTATCATTTGTTTTCTGTTATCCGTTGGCTGTGGTGGACATTTTGTATTAGATTGATTTAAAATTGTAATCAGTTGTTGTTGCTGCACATCCAGTGATTATTTCCTGAAAGTTTGATAAAAATAAGTTTGTTGGTTCAGCACATTTTGTTAACAGACAAACTTAAGTCCAGATAGTTGAGGGGAGGGACGTGGTGTCCACTGTAAAGTCCATGTGATTCTCAGGTTGTTCCTGGACATGAGCTGCCATCACCTCGAGCTGTAAACTGTCACAGACTGTCACAGACTGTCTCAAACTGTCTCAGACTGTCACAAACTGTCACAAACTGTCACAGACTGTCACAGACTGTCACACACTGTCTCAAACTGTCTCAGACTGTCACAAACTGTCACAAACTGTCACAAACTGTCACAGACTGTCACAAACTGTCACAAACTGTCACAAACTGTCACAGACTGTCACAAACTGTCACAAACTGTCACAAACTGTCACAGACTGTCTCAAACTGTCTCAGACTGTCACAAACTGTCACAAACTGTCACAGACTGTCTCAGACTGTCTCAGACTGTCACAAACTGTCACAAACTGTCACACACTGTCACAAACTGTCACAAACTGTCTCAAACTGTCACAAACTGTCACAAACTGTCACAAACTGTCACAAACTGTCTCAAACTG